AGACATTATTGTTGCACATATTTAGAACAGGCAATTGAAGGGACAGAAAGGTGTGATGCTTTTTCTCATCCAATGTAAGAGTCAGAACCAACATTCCTGTAACATGAGAGGTTAACAGTGGAAAGCATAACAAATTTAGTCAGAGTTCTACATGACAATGGTAGCCTTCAGAAATGAAGAACCAAACACCCAGGGGAAACTATTATGCTAAGGTTTGATGAAGACTGGAAAGTCTTGCAGAAATGTGATTGGACAAAAGCATATGATCTAATGGTAATAGACTGGGTGGGGAAACCCAGCAAGGCCTCTCTGTTCAGATTCTTCCTGGCCTCTGTGTGCAGCATTCCTTCCCTCAGGATATAGGGGAGGATCCCTCGAATGAGGGTCTTCAAGGGAGAAGGGGAGAGAGTGACCTTTCTAGATTTTATATCTTGCTGTGGAGGAGGGTAGTTCTGGTTTCTGTGATTAGACTTAGGGAAGAGGAATTCTGGTATCTATGACTTGCTTTAGGGGAAGCACAGGACCCAGAGACCAGGTGGACAGGGAAAGGTTAGAAAGACCTTGCTTCTGAGATCCTTCTAACATCCTTCAGTTCAAAGTGCTCAGCATGCCAAGGTACCTTATTATGGTGTATTGTGTTCTGAGCATTGACACAATTAATATAAATTAAGTTTAAAATTAAATACGTTACTAATTGTATATATTTTGCTGTGTATTTATGTCTGTTTTCCCTAATAGGTAGGGGAAAGTTATTTTCTACTTACAAATTTCATTTAACTCTTCAAATGAGCTGTCATTTAGTTTTAATTTAATCTACACTGGTAGAAGTCATTGCCATATTCAAATTGAATGAAGAATGATAATAGAGCATGCAAAGTTTTGTTCCAGAATGCAAGTCATTTTACCATGTTAATTATAGGAATGGGATGTGTGGATTATTGTGGAATCTTATTCTCAAGTATTCATTAAAAATAGGATGAATATTTAAATTTTTAGTATGCTTTAGTAATTAACATTAATATAGCAATTTATAGTATAAATAAATTATTCATTGCCTATTATAGAGACATATTACTTGACCTAGTAATATACATGAAACATACTCCGGAAAAGATCTGTATAAAACCGAAAATCCTCCTATTCTACTCTTCTGACTCAAAGGAGAGTCCTTTCTTATTTTCTTGCAACTGTTGAAGTCCTACTTCTCTGAATATTACCATTTTCAGTAATTCCTTCCAGGCTAATACAGTATTTACTCATTTGTTTTCCTTTCTCTAGCATAAGCCTTTAAAAAAACATAAAAATACAATTTAGCACTTCCTTGTATGTTTCTGGTGTTCCCTAATTAATTATATTATGCCATTTTATTTACTCCATTTGTAATTCTCTTGAGGACAGTACTATATTTTTAGGGGAATGATCCTCATCTCCCCGAACATACACTTGGAGATACACACAGTCTCTCTGTATTTTGAAAAATTCTGAGCCTTTAGTAGGATTGGCTCCAACATTTTGTGGATTGATTATTTTAGTGATTTATTTCCTTGAAAATATAAAGGAAATTGATTAGCCTTGAGAACTTCAGGATCCCTGGTTGCAAATGGAGAAATATTGACACAGGCTCCTGGCTTTTTTCCAAGTTAAATTTTGATGGCGTGTCAGATGTTTCCTGTACATAACCTCACTCTAGAAATTAAGAACCTTTCTTTCACTGAAGTTTAATCTGTTTCTTGACAATTAGTGTTTTTACTTAATGAAACACATATTTTTTTTTTTTTCTGCATTTCTTCTGTTTGTTTTAAAACTACCCTTTCAGGCTTCAGGGGTTTCCCCTTAAATTCAATGCTACAGGACTCTGTAAAGAATTTCACAGTGAACCTTTTCATAAGCCTCCTCAATTTAAGACGTGGATAATATTTCATTTTACTTCCGATCCCTTCATCCTAGTACAAGTTATAATTGTTGAAGTCCATTGTCAGATAGTAAGTCACCTCTTTTGTAATCATGTTGATGTTTTCTTTGTCTTTTCCTGCTCTGTACAGTAGCCAGTAAGGATTTTCAGTCAGAATCAATGTATCTGAGGCAACTGGATGGAGTTGTTATCATAAGAATAAGACGAGGAAAAGACTAAGATGGAGATCCAAGAGAGTCACAAAATTTGTCTGCTAAGAGTTACAGCAACTTTGTGACATAGATAGGTTTTAGAAAGCCAGAGCCTGTAATGTTTCTAATGCTAACACTGTGAGGTAAAAAGTGAGAATTGAAATCACAGCTAAACTCTCGATATAATTCACCCCTGATATCACACAACTCTGAAAGACTATGGGTTCTGGAAAA